TTAGTTGGGACATCCCCTTTGCCAGCAGCCTTCTTCTCAGCACGGGCCAACAGTCTTTGCTTCTTCTCCTGCTTTGTCTCTGGCCTGTACTTGTGGGCAAGCTTGAGCAGCTGGGTAGCTGTTTGCCGGTCCAGGGCCTGGGTGAACTGGTTAATGGCAGGAGGAACTTTAAGCCGCTTATACAGGATGGCCCTTTGCCGCTGCAGCCGAATGTATCGGGGCCATTTGACGAAGCGTGTGAGGTCTCGTTTGGGCTGGATGTCCTGCCCAATGCCGAAGTTCTTAGGCCTCTTCTCAAACAAAGGGTTCACCACCTTCTTGGCCTCCTGTTTCTTCACGACGGCGGGGGCCGGGGCCACCTTCTTCCCCTTGGCCTTCTTTCCCTTGGGCATCTTGCTCGGCTGCAAAAGAGAGAGAGCTAGCTTGTGTACTTTTAAAAACAGTAGTAAGTCTATTTTAGTATGGATTCCTGACACCTAAAAAGCTGAAGCAATGAGCCAACCAAGTGGCTCAGTGGGTAAAAATGGTTGCCACCAAGCCTGATAATATGAGCTCAATCCCCAGAATCCACATGGTAGAAGGAGGGACCCACCTCCCATAAGTTGTTCTTGGACCTTTTCATGTGTGTACACATGCACACAATAAAGTTTTTTTTTTAAAACTATGCAATTGACTTGCTTTAAAACAAAACTACCATTGCCACTTTCTAAGAGTCTAGTTAGAACTAGGATTTAACTTGCCTGGGTTTCTGCTGTGTACAGCTTTGTTGGTCATCTCTGGATCTTCCTGATTTGATACTTGTGCTACAAAACTGGCAATGCCCACCTGAAACCTCTGTTTAGTAGTTGGCTTTGAAAGACCCAGACATGCATGGAGCTTTGCAGTTCATTAGCGACAGAGTCTCGTCCTTTTCAGCATACAGGCAGCCTCAGTCTGCATGGAAAGAGGAAACTGCATTTAAAAATACCCTTGTTCCCCTGAGCCCTGCCAGTGTGTTGGCTGTGACAGCCAGAGATGGAGTGGGGGTTTGAGTCTAGCTCATCCCTATGCTTTTTCTTTCTTTAATCGCACTGGCCATGTGTACCCCTGATCTCTCTCAGGGATACCCTCTGTGGTTCTTCATCCCTCCTCCTCTTCCACTGCCAAACTATTCTTAAGTAGAGAAGTGATTTCTGAGTGGATAACTTGACTCCTCTTGTCCACACACTTTGTGTTTTCAAAGGCTGTCCAGACTCCATCCAAGCCTGACTTGTTCTGTCTGCCTTGTCCCTTCCCTACTTCCCACTGGTCTCACTGATCTTCAAAGCCTGTCTTGTATCCCAGGCCATCTACCGTTTGTTACACTGAAAAGAGAATGTAGACTGTGTGAGGACCAGAAATGGGCAGGCAGACAAGGATAAGGCTCACTGAAGAAAAGGGACAAATTGTTTACTTGCATGTTTAAAATAATGCAAATATGGGCCACATCAAAACACCATGTCAATAGCTGTTAGAATGTCCACTCTAATGTGCACCCAGGGAAGGAAGTGTTGAGAAGCCCTCAACTTTCCCCTGAAAATAAATGCTCAAGTCATTCCAAAATACACTGTAAAGCTCCCATCCCACAGAGAGTCTGAAAGGTGGTTCCTGGGAAAGCCCCCTATCTCAGATCAAAAATACTCAATGTATCCCACTGGCAAGGAAATTGGCTCCTGTCACATCACAGTTCCTAGTGAGGTCCCTACCTGAATACTTCTGATCAACTCTCAGGCTCTGCTTGAGGGCATGTCAAATCATATAGCACCTTGAAGCTTCTGGAGTGAGAGTTAAGAGTTTGCTGGCCTGTCCACTCTGGAACCAGGCACCCAGTCCCTCTGCTCTGCTCCCCTAAGAGCCAGCCTTTGCCCCCATCAGGGTGGAAGAATTTTTGTCTTCAGTAGGGATTTATGTCCATCACATGCCTTAGAGATGACTAGGTTGCACGTTGGGTGGATTGAGTTTTTGCTTTTTCCATTGAATCACTTTTTCCACAGCCATACTAATTGTAGGCTCTCCTGGGAGAAGGGAAGCCGGCAGCTGTGCTCCCAGCCTTCTTCTGGCATATAGACCTTGCTCTGTTAACAATAATGGGCCTCTGGCTTCTCAGGGTCTGGCAAGGGGAAGCATAAGAGTGATGGGTAAATGGGAGCTCCAGGCCTCACCTGTATGCAGTGCTGCTTCTAAACCTGTCTCCCAAAGAACTGACCACACATATAACACAGCTCTCATTTTTCCCCTTTGAGAAAATTCTTCAAAAATATAGGTCTTTTATTTCTTTTGAGATATGGTCTTATTGTATAGCCCAAGTTGGCATCAAACCCAAAATCTTTCTCCCTCAGCCTCCAAATGATGGGATTGATTCCAAGTTGTTTTGTTTTTGTTTTTTGTGGCCTATTTGAATATACAAATCTTAAGGAGAGTAGAAAAAATACATGTTTAGCCTTTATATTTATTTTATTACTTTTCTTACAAGTATCTAAAAATCTCGAGTTGAAGAGAACATATTAATTCAGGATATTGCTTTTCAATTATTAAATTCTATACATGTGTTTTAATGACTAGTGTCACTGTCTTTATGAATGCTATTTGGAATCATCTTCCTCAGTGTCCAAGTTATTTGTAGTATAGCACTTTGGGAATCCATGAATAATTTGATTACTGGGGATTTTACAAGGTAACTACTGATAACCAAACAGGTGTCAGCCTGTACTTCATTGTGAAATTTGAATTTCCACTCTATTGGGAATCAGTGACTTGAGGAGAACTCAAGTACAAGGTGAGAGTCCCTCTTCTGAGGGCTGGTTTTGCTCTAAATCTACTAGTGAGGATACAATTAGTAATTCTATATGGATTGAAAATATATTTATAGGCCGGGCGTTGGTGGAGCACGCCTTTGATCCCAGCACTCGGGAGGCAGAGGTAGGCGGATCTCTGTGAGTTTGAGGGCAGCCTGGTCTCCAGAGTAGGATAGGAGCCAGGATAGGCTCCAAAGCTACACAGAGAAACCCTGTCTTGAAAAACCAAAAATAAAAAAGAAAAAAAATATATTTATAAATAATAGTTATATTATACAAAATAATTAATACAAAATGCAACAAATATATTATTAAAATATGTAGTATGTTATTACATATATCAACAATATTAAGTATGTTATAGATTATCAGGTAATATATATTATATAATTATATACTATATTAAGAATATTAAAATGCTGCATAGTAATTAAGTACTAAAATAAGTACTAAAAAAAGAAGGTTCTTGGCAAAAAATGTCAAACAGCCAGCTGTGTTGACTCTTACCTGTGGGATATACTGAAGAAGCAGAGGCAGGTTGGGCTTTACTGTAGGATAGACAGATGGATAGCTCAGTGGATAAAGTGCTCACTGAGCAAGGCTGATATCCCGAGTTTCATTCCTAGGACCCATGTAAAGGTGGAAGGAAAGAACCAACTCCAAAGAGTTGTACTCTGACCTCCACACCACAGCTTTGGAGCCCACACACCACCCCGATTACACAACATAGTAGTAGTAACGTGTTTACCAATGTAGACCTGTAAAAAGAGTAAAAAACACTAGCAGTTGCCAGGTGAGGACAAGTGCTGGTTCGGCTTGGTAGACAGCGTGCCAGCTGTGTTTAGGCACAACTGTTCATATATGTGTTTCTTACACTTGTATCTCATGATGCATGCTAGTTTATAATGTAGTGCTTTTCACTTTTATTTTGCGGGGTTTTTCTCATATGAAAGAAAGTATGGTAGCTGTATATCACAGTTGTAATGGCTACACCTCTGTGTACATAGTATACATAGTATGGTTCCCTCTACTCCAGTTGTTAGTATTAGGCATTGCTTCCAGTTTTCTTACCTAAAAACAATTCTATAATATTCTGAGTTGTAGTTTTACAAACCTTCTCTAATCTCATCTAAGATTATAAGGCCTGTGTTTTTTCTGTATTTCTCAACTCTTAAATACTTTATTTTTGTTATGTGTGATAAAAGGAAGTAACAGTGTTATCATTGCAGCACACGCATGTACATGCATACATACTCATAAGTATTTGCTCTTTTCTTTTCTTTTCTTTTCTTTTCTTTTCTTTTTTTTCTTTTCTCTTCTTTTCTTTTTGTGGGGGGCAGGGTTTCCAGGCTGGTCTTGAACTGGCTGTGTAGCAGAAGGTATCTTTGAACTCTTAATCCTCTGCCTCCATGCTGAGTGCTGGGGTCACTGGTGTACACTATTGTGACCACATTTTTTGGTACCACTTGAAATGCACAGGGCAGTGACAATGAGCACATCCACCTGCCTGTGCAGCTGTCACCATATCCACCACAGAGCTCTCATCTTCCACACTGAACTCCCTACCCATTATATGCTCTTTTGGTTCCTGCCCTAGCACCCCCCTCTCTCTCTCTCTCTCTCTCTCTCTGCCTTTTGGTTAGTTTGAATAAAGGTTTGTCTATTTTGTTGATTTTCTCAAAGAACCAACTCTTTGTTGCATTGATTCTTTGTATTATTTTCTTTGTTTCTGCTTTATTGTTTTCAACTCTCAATTTGATTATTTCCTAGTATCTACTCCTCTGGGGTGAGTTTGTTTCCTTTTTTCCTAGAACTTTCAATTGTGCTGTTAATTCTCTACTGTAACTATTCTCCAGTACTTAGTGCTATGAACTTTTTCCTCTTAGTACTGCTTTGAAATTGTCCCATAAGTTTGGGTATGTTGTGTCTTCATTATCATTGAATTCTAGGAAGTCTTTAATTTGCTTTTTTATTTCTTCCTTGACCCTGAAATGGTGCAATTGTACATTGTTTAATTTACTTGAGTTTGTAGGGTTTCTGAAATTTGTGTTGTTGTTGAATTCTAACTTTAAAGCATGGTGGTCTGATAAGATATAAGGAGTTATTTCAATTTTTTTGTATCTGTTGAGGATTGCTGTGTTGTCCAGTATGTGGTTGATTTTAGAGAAGGTTCCATGTGATGCTGAGAAGGTTTATTCTTTTGTGTTTGGATGGAATGTTCTATAGATGTCTGTTTAACCCAATTGTGTCATAACTTCTCTTAGTTCCTTTGTTTCTTGTTAAGTTTCTGTCTGGTGGTCCTGTCTAGTGTTGAGAGTGGGGTGTTGAAGTCTCCCACTATAAGTGTGTGAGGTTTTATGTGTGATTTGAGTTTTAGTAATGTTTCTTTTACAAAGTGGGTGTCTTTGTATTTGGGGAATAGATGTACAGAATTGATACTTCATCTTTTTTCCCTTTTTAAATTTAAATTCTTTAATTACCACTCATATTTACATATCCATCCCCCCATTCCCTCGCCCTCCCATCCTCCCATGTTCCCCACCAAACCCCCAACCCATCCCCCAACTCCTCCCCAGGGACAGTGAGGCCCTCCAATAGGGTCC